TATATGTTCCCGATTACATTTGGGTATGTGACCAACAGAACTGGTGAACACTCTTCTCCTCTAAAATTGCTCCAAAACTAAAAGTAAAATTTTCAGTTTCGACAGGGTTTGGTATAAAATAAATTAAATCAACGTATTTAAATGGAAATGTTCAGCTCTGAAGAAAAGCCATTTGGAATTTCAATAACTGTATCAAGCTTCTCTCTTAATGCTCTGTGCATCCTTCACAAGCTTTCATAAATTAAATAATTTATTTTTTTAAACTATCTGAGGTTATTCTAGAAAGAATATTCAAAGTTTTTCAGTGTGCCAAATTATGAATGCTGTATGAGATAGACAGTACAGAAAGACTAAACTGTGGGAGGAAAGCTTTCCAGACAAACTGCAACTTTAGACATCCACTCATTTGAAATTAATCCAGATTTGTGATAATTTATAGGATTACAGTATTACTTAATGAGATTTACAGCAGCAAAGGTATGAGATAAAAAAAGAAATCTGTGGATTTTTCTAAATGCAATTGAATCTTTCTGAGGTCTGGATTTCCATCTTTTTAAACACCCTTAATACTTCAGATCACAACTTCCACAGATACATTTTGCTCTTTCTTACCAACTTAACTGTAATGTTCATACCTCAACCTGAAAATTTACCTGTATTCCTCTAAGTTCAGTCTGCTGAAAATGACAGCAACAATCAAGCAGGAAAAAAGAAACCCACAAAACAAAAGCCAAAACCAGAGTCTGAAATATCTTGAATACATTAAGGTCAGACTTTGACATCCTCACTGAGCAGTGCATTAAGCAGTAAACATTCTCAGAATACTTCAAAAACACTGCTTAATGCAAGTACAGCTAACAAGATGTGGGTCAAATGGGACTTTCTAATTTGCTGAAACGATTAGTGATGAGAACTCAATTATTTTTGCGTTTGTGGATCTAAGTGATAAAGTAATGCTGCTTTTTTTCGTTATTGGTGTAAAATAAAGGTCATCAACCGGCTACAAAGATCAAAACCTAAAAGACACTATTACATGAGCTCCCAGAAAATCCTAGTCATCTATATTCATACCTGAACTTTGCCTGCACACGGTGCATTGATGAATATTACCGTATCAGACAGACAAACATCATCAGCTCAACACGGTCAGCAGTTTTGTGTTTCATTACCAAACAAAACATCTTGCCAGCAAAGTGATTTCATTAACATATTCAAACCACTGACTGGCTCAGTCTGAAGGTCATTTAAAATTCTTTGAAATACAAGATAAAATTTTAATTCTTAAGTCTCACATAACATTTAAAATACATTATTCTTCAGGAAAGTATCTCATAACTCTCACTGAAAATTTAATCCACACAACTCAATTAATCATTACCAAGTGGTGTTAAAATTGAAAAGTGCACCTTCTCAGGAAAAGAGTAATCATCATGGTATAGCACCACTTTGCCCTTCAATGTCTCCTTTCATCTAAAAACTTCATCATTGTTCCCAAAGGTATTGCTTCTCTTTTATTGGTGAGGAAATGATGTGCTAAGTAGCTTGCCCAAAAAAGTACAAAGTCAGTGGCCAATGTAGGGACAGGCCAGAACTATCCATGACATTTTGATCAATGCTTGCCTTACAAAACTATGCAGCTATTAAATATATTCCTGTGCCATGGGGGAAAAGTCTGAAATATCTCACTAGGTTGACATAAAAATTCCACTTGCACCTTCCAGGGTGCATCCAAGGGCAAAGGACCGTACTTGCCCGGTCCTAAACTCAGAAGCCACTGTCTAAGATCTGAGCTGGTTCAGTCTTAATGTGATTTGACAGCTGAGGGATCATTCTTCTCATTTCCAATATAAGTGAGAAGGGGGGTTTGGGAGATGGGGCTTTCTGAACTTTTTAAATGTGAGAAGTAAAATGATTTTGTTCATATATGCACCCATCTTAAAATATTACTCAGGTAAAAGCCAGAAAGTGGGAACCTTCCCAGAAAAAATCACAACTCAAAAAATACTGATGGAGTAATTGTCATTAACAATTTGCACGAGTCTACAAGAATTACTTACTATTTGAAAAATTTCGGATATTTTCACTTCTCCCCAAGGCAAATATTTTAATGTTTCTCTTTGGAAGTGCATCTACAGCCCTTCTCACAACCTCACTGTTCTGCTAACTCCCTTTAAAGTGCCCAACCGCACAGAAACCATATTGAGAGGCAGGCACAACCAGGCTTTGAAATTCCCTTTTCAATCACAGCACTGCATTTTAGTCTGACAGCATATACATGTAACATATGGCTAAAAGCTTCTTACCATACCAGCAAGCGTGCTGGCCTGAAGGAGCAAATATTTAAATAAAACACCATGCCATTTTCCAGGTGTTAAACCAAAAAAGAGCAGCTCAAACATGTACATGGGGGGGGGGAAGCAGAACGGGGGGAGCCCTTCTGCTTTTTTGCAGAGAATCACTCCAGGCCAATGAAATCCCAAGTTTAACTCAAACCAGCATTTACACCTTTGAAACCTCCCTCTCTCCCCATGCAAGGGAGCCCTGCAATGGCAGCAGCAGCAGCAGCAGGCTGGTAAGGAGTGTGATTCTCAGCCTGGCTCAGCTGCGGGTGAGCTCCTCTGCTTTGTGCCATCCTTGGAGCTGCCATGCAATGTGGTGACCTTCCTCCTGCTCCACCACCATCAGGAAGAAGCACAGTTGGCCAGTCTCCACTGCTCCCCAGGGCTGCTGGCCAGCCCGTGAGGCCAGCAGGCAGCCAGGGATCATCAGCACGAGACACCTAACAACTCTTACATTTCATGTGCAAGCTGCAGCAGTCAGATGGCTTACTAGGCATTCCCTTTTGGAGAGGGATCTTTTTCCCTTCTAGAGCAGTCAAAAGCTCCCCAGCTTGTTAAACCTCAGTGGCTGAAAGACCCCTCAAGGAACCTAAAGGATCCTGCCAGGCAATGTCCTTTTCCTTCACCTTATGTGGCCGTCTTGGGACTGCACGGCATTTCAGGAGCTGGGATTTTAAGGAAGTCTCCATTAGGAAACTCTCATAAAAGATGCATTAAGTCAGGGGATTCCCATAGTAGGGAGCACAATACACCAAACCTCGGGACTTTAAACATGATTTTTCTCTGTGTCCTCCTTCCTCTAAGGGGAAGGAGTTTGCCACAGTGAAATTCCACCATTTGCCGTTGCAGCCTCTCATGGAGAGCAAGGATGGAGAAGGGAAGTAACTGTAATTCCCTGCAGCTTTTACAGCATTTACCACAATCCTGCAATGGATGAGGGGAAATAAGGAACTTATTGCAAAGAAGACACAAGCCAGCCCTTGCAGGAACTTAAGGCTTAACAAGGATAACTTTCTTTGTAAGTCACTGTCAAACTCTCAGGCTTCTTTTACAAAAATAATAATTATCCATGTGCAGCACTGAATTACAAGTCAGTAACAGAGGACTCTGTGCAGGCTACACACTCCAAAAGGGTTATACACAAGGAAATCCTAACCTTTCCCAATCATGCTATCAGGACAAAGGCTGTGCAGACACAGCAATAACAGGAACTCCTAATTCACATAACACAGCCTAGGAAGAGCAATAAGAGAATTCCCCTCCCCATTCTCCCTCTCTCCTTCAGATCAGTACAAATGAGTATTTTCAGAAGCAAAGGGAAGGCAAGCACAGCATCCTTGAGTTTGGTCTCAAGGTCTACACTGATAATTGTGCCATGTTCCCACCACTGCACTATGAAATATATTTACAGTTGTGGGCTACAGTAAATAACAAATAAAAAAATAAAAATTAAAAAAAAAGACCACTTTTACTGACCTTTCTATAATATGATCTATCATAAGCCACAAGAAAAACCTCAAGCCAAGCTTCTATATGAAACATGTCACCCTGCAATATGTAACCCAGTAGAGTGCATCTTCCCTACATCCTTTGGCTCATCAAAAGACATGGAATTTTTTCCCTTTTCTGTACCTTACTGCTTCTCTTTGCTGTTTCCACTTGTTTTCAGGCCCTGTTCCCCCCACACACACCCCAACTCAACTTGGAATTTCCCTTTTTTAAGCTCTCTTCAACTACTCAGTTGGCTCATGGTGCAAATTCACTTGCATTGGAGGGGACCATCTTTTTCTTCTTGTCCAGTAAAACTAAAATTTACAAGTTAAACAAAAATATACAATATATTAAAAAGAGTTGCCCTATCTGAAAGAAAGCCAGTATTAGCACAGTTTTTTCAGAGATTAGGTACAGTCTAATCTTTTTACACTTAACTAGCAGTTACTTTGGGGGATTTATTACTGTTTCCTCAAGGAAAATAAGAAACTAACAAAAAACCCAGCACAACCCCTGTCACAAAACTTTAGTTAAGGAGAAAACCAACATTTTTATAAACAGGAAGTTGATTTTTTCCAGAACTTTCCTTGAGATTGCCTCGGACTGACTAAATATCTACTTTTCCCATAGGACAGAGGCTTCCTTAGATCCGAGCAGACACTTTTGAATTTCAGCCTTGTAGGAACTGTTCAAAATACCTGGTGAACTACCTGACTGCTCTTCTGCAGAGAGCACGCAGGTGTCTGCCTCCCTCTTTGCAACCTGCACCCCAATACAGAGCAAAAGGAACATGAAATCAGATCACTCATCTCTGTTCCAGCACACAGAGCATGATGACTTTTTAAAATACCTGGGAAAAAGAAAGAAAAAAAGAAACACATTTGATTTTTTTAACATCCCCATGCTGATGTGAATCACAGCTATCGTTATTTATTTCGCTGGACAGTTTTCATACAGATCATCAGCCAAGCAATCTGACTGATAAATTAGAGGCAGAATTCTGCCTCTGCTCTCAGTGACTGTTCTCTATTAGGCTGAAACAAATCACCTTTGAGTTCACAAAAGCTTTAACAGAGAAAGATAACTAAGAAATATGGTATTATAGAAAAAAAAATATGTTGCTAGCAATGCTTAAGATAACCTCTCATCTCCACGCAGCATACACAGTACCTGAGAGGAAGATTTCCACAAAGCCATCTCTTAATCTTTGTCTTAATCCAACACTCAGACTCATCTTCATGTTTGCAAAACATAACCACTCGTCCTTTTTTTCCCCTCAAGCTGTGGAAAGCATGTCCGTGTCATCTACGGAATATTCTTCCAAATGAATAGCGTGATGTATTCCCAACAGCAAGCCATTTTCCAAGGGGCAACAAACTTTATATAGAGAATAAATAAATTTATAAAATGAATACTTCATCTCTCAAGAGAGAACTAATTGATATTACTAAGTGCCTCCACCTGTCAGAGGATTTTATTAATAGCCTTAGCTTTAAATAATCATTCTTAGGTAAAGATTGCTTATTTAATTTTCACTCTTTGCTCAATGGTTAAGAATAATATAAACCAATAAATTACCACATGGGGTCATCTTTGTTTCAAAAATCACCTTTCTAGTCAAAGATACTGCAGTGGTATTAGAAAGGAGTTACATGCTGACTCAAAATTATTTGTCATGGAAGAGGAAGGCAAGACACCATTTTAGAGTGTTTGGATTTAAACACATAAATAATCCAGAAAGAGTTTCCATGTTCTTACAGTAATTTTCAAACTAAAAATAAGGCTACTAATCTAGCAGCAGTTTTGGCAGCATGCTTTGCTCCCGCTGCAGGCCTGCCAGCTCTCAAAAGGTAACTTCTGCAAGATCAGAATTTTGAATCAGGTCAAGAATCATCTTGTAAACATAGGAAATCCATGGGCAAAAATGGCAAAAGTCTGCTAAGTGCATTTGTTTCTATACAAATGCATACACATACTTTGCACCTTTGCTTTGGACAGAGAGAGAGAGTTGATTGTGTGCTTATGTTACACATAGAGCTGAAATACAAAAGCTGTTCAGCAGCTCTACAGCCCCTTTCAAAATTAAGATAGTTTTTATTTCCATGAAAGGACACTCTGAACTAATAATTTCATAGGTTTCCTGAATATTAACAATTCTGAGTAAAGCTGAAGAAACGAAAGTATTAGCAAAAAAGGCATAGTGGCAGTTATAAAATAAAAATCCTTTTACACATTGGTCATATCATTAAGCACAGAACATGAAAAACATACCCTGATACCAGTACATGTTAGGGCAATGTGGTAGGTAACTGGTTCAGATTATAAATATCCATTTGTACCTCACTGTCATGCAAGTTTTTTTACTCCTCTTCCACTGACGCAAATTAAATCTGGATTAATATTTGAAATAATTTCATCCTGAGCCGTCAAAGCCTGACAGCTGTAGATAGCAACACACAACTAAGGCAGGGCAGCCTTAATAACAGGCAGCCCCAGCTATAACTCAACATGTTTTTTGTCAGGGAAGGGAATTGAGATCTGTTTTAATGCCTTGAAAGAAACAAAGCTGAGAGTCAAGGAATCACTTGCCCCACCTCCAGTGCCCAGACACTTAAAGAGGAAAAGTGGGTAAAGAAGTTGAAAAAAAAGGAAACAAAACAAAAAACCAACCAAACAAACAAATAAGCAAGAGTCAGAGGGAACCCTGTGTGCTCCCTGTCCCTGTACCCATGCAGAAAGGAGGGAAAGCAGGTCTCATAGAAAGAACTGCCCTATGAGCCCATATGCGCAGATCCAGTTGAAAATTAATTTTGTGCCTGTCAGGGGCAAATGACAGGCGTGTGCAATGGCACGGAGCAGGACCAGAGAGCACAGAATTTGTGGCTTTCAATAAAACCACCCAGTTGTGGCAGGTCCCCTCCAAGCATCTGACCTCACTCAAAGCATTTGAGGTGTCTCCCCTTCCTTGCAGTTGCCACAGGATAGCTCAGACCTCACCCATCCCCTGCTCCTGCTTCACAAGTTATCAAACCGCTGCTCAAGCAGCGAATGGTACACACTCTACAGGATTTTAAATTAGTAAGTGCCAGGAGAGAGCTGGTAATTATTGTACTGGGCAAAAGTACATGTTATTCAGAAGACAATGAGATTAGTTCCTGAAATAGGCCGGCAACACGAAGCCAGGAGTTACAAGTAATCATTTAGACAGCAGTGTGATACTCGAGGCCCCCCCTCCTACGCACATCCCTTCCACTAGGGGCTAGCAAAGGGTACCAAAATCCATCAGCACCTCCCTGGGAATCTCAGTTGCCTGTTTCTCAAAGCTGACCTGCTTCAACCAGCAGGTCTGTGTTGACTCGCAGCAGCCAGCAGGGAGCTGTAGCACACACCACACCTAACACCTTTCAGAGCAGAGAACATCTCCTCAACCATCCGTCATGTTTGCTATGCACCTCCGACTTTGAACAGCAGAAATTCAGGTTGTCAATGCCTTGTAGTGCATAAGATCTTCAAGACAGCAGAGGCTGTGTAGGCAAAGGGAGCTGGTGGAGCAGACACAGTGACTACAATATTAATATGGCAATTTGCAACACAATTTTCACGTTTGAGTTCGAGGTAGAAACAACATGGGCTGTTAAGTGGTCACACTTAATTCCAGGAGGAAATCCAGAGCACCTACCTCTTCCTGTCATCTTAGTAATGCTCTGGAGAATGATATATTGAAAAATTGAAAAACGAACAAGACGGGCATCTTCCTTAGACAAAATAAAGGTTGTGTATTATATGATTTCTTTGTATGCTGACTTCAACTCTGGGCACAAAAAAAAAGTGTTCTTTTCATCCTTAGCAGCTTTTGAAAGGTATGTCAGGGTGAGCTCTCCAAAGCTCCTATAGGCAATTTGGAAGTCTAGAGCTTTAATGGCATTACTGAATTCAGGTCTTTTAGGTCCCTCTGAAAAAAACAATTGTTAAAGTGATTAAAAAGACCGGCAATAAATGAGAACTGAGCCTTGGAATTTTATATAATTTAAGCATTGCTTTCAAACGTTCGGCAATTTGCATAATCCGCAAAAAAACACCCTAGCAGCAAACCCGCACTAAGTGTATTTGAGAAAAAAAAAAAAAAGAAAAAAACATCTGTAACCGCACTCAAAATAAATTTTAAAAAATAAATAAATTAATTAATTAATCAGAAGAAATGCCCATGCAGTTTTGCAGCTCGTTTGTGCCTCGGTCTGCTCCCTGGAAGGCAGGAAAGCAAGTGATGCCGTGTTCTTGCCAGCAGGGAGCAGCCCCCAACAGCTCAGCCGAGCGCTGCCCCAGTCTGTCAGCGCTTGCATTCCGCGTGTGAGAACACCTGCACATCAGAAGTCCCGTCTGGGTGGTGCACATAACTCCTGGTCTGATTAAAAACACGCGGGTAGATGAACACAGAGCTCGGCGGGGTGGGGAGAGACGAGCGAGGCGTGAGCTCAGCCCGTCGAACCCGACAGCTCTCAGAGCCGCGGTGGGTTCGTCCAGCACTCACCGTCTCGAACGCCAGACGCGGATCTGAAGCTCAACACGCACTGTTTCAGCTGTTCCCGGGACTGTTTGGTTCCTCCTGGTCCCCAGCCTTCGGGACAGAGTGAGGGTGGCGAGGCCCTGGCACAGGTTGCCCGGAGAAGCTGTGGCTGCCCCATCCCTGGAAGTGTCCAAGGCCAGGTTGGATGGGGCTCTGAGCAACCTGGGACAGTGGAAGGTGTCCCTGCCCACCCAGAGGGGTGTAACTAGATGGTCATTAAGGGCATTCTACGATTCTATGACAGGTGAGGGTTATGCTAATGACCTCTGACCACAAAGGCAATGTTACCACCTTCAAATCCATTTAATTCTTAATTTTTTCCAGGCCTTAAAATAATTGATTCGTTCAAACCAATAAACCATCCAACAACAGCAATAACCACAACAACAACAAAAGCCACTTCAAGCCCTACAATACAAGAAACTAACAGACTGTAAGAAAGATAAAAAACTAGAGGAGCAGAGGAGTCAGTGGAAAGACTCTGCTACCAGAGCTTGTTTGGTTTTAATCTTTTGTGTACTCTTGGGTGGATACCTCAGGGTGAAGGAAAATACAAAAAGTAGCCTGGTTCTTAAAATCAGAATCAAGAACGGGGCTGGGGGGAAGGAGGGGGAGTGTTTGTGGTCAAAGTGAGATTCATTTTTCATTTATTTCCAAAGCCTATTTATTTCACCTTTAGAAATTTACAGTGAAGGTGTCAGTAGCTGAGCATGTCACCTCAGACTCTCTTCATAATCAATAGCGAGAAATAAGTACTTCAGGGCCCAATTATCTGATCCGCTTTAAACTACTTTTTTTTCCCCCCAGATGAGATGAGTTGGAACAAGAAGTGCCCGTTTCTCTCCATTGACCATAAAACAGATGCAGGACAACAGGGTCAGACATAATAGGCCTATGTACACATTTTCTCAGTGAAAATTGTTCCCTATCCAGGAGCTCTGAAGAGCCATTAACACTTCTCTGCACAATTAACATCATCAGTTCAAAAGCAACCTGGCCACGTGCCTGTAAAGCCTTTCTCCATCTCCCCAGAAAAACAAACATCTTCAGATAAGGTTTGAAGAGGTCTGCAGTTGGAAAGAGAGGCACATGAAAGCACCATCTGTATTTTTAAATCAAGACAGCGTGAACCTAGCATTATTTTTTGGGACATGAAGGCAGTGTTTCAGGAAGCTACTCAAGGCATACCAGTGTGGTGTTGGGCGATTGTCTCAGGATACAACACATCTCTTTTCTATAATTTCATGAGCCACATCTTGCAGATGGAGATTTCTCTCCTTTCTCCAGATGACCTGACTTGCCTTGAGAGCTTCTCTGTGAAATCTTCATAACGCATTAAGAGGTTATTTACAGACATGCACAGTGCATATCTCAATAGGCACCGATTCTTTCTTTACCAAACTCCTTCATGATTACTTTGTGTACAAACAGTCGTTCAACACTGTAGCTTTTGCAGGGGAACCTGTAAATACACTGTGATTTTATCTGTGCAATGCAAGCACCAGCTCAGCCAAGGCAAAAGAAGGGTGAGGCGCCAAGGGAACCAACACAGAGACTTCAGTGCAATTAGGCAGGAGAAGAATTAGGACAGTTCATGTGCAGAGATCAGATGCTCCAAGGAAGAAAACTTTTCTCCAACACTCTTAAGCCATTTCCATCACCCTTCCCCCCCCCCCCCCCAATACTTTTACTGCTCTCATGAACTGATTTAAAATATGAATGATTACGGGCAGACAAAAAATTTCATACTGTCATTGCAATAAAAAATCCAGTTTAATTATGTGACCACCTATTGAGAGAATCAGTTA